AGGGTTGCATTGACAATCCAACACATGGGCAGCACATTGAACACATTTTATAAGTGGTAGAAACTTGTAAATAACTTATGAAAGAATAAAGTTATGTTGAAACCAAGCACACCATTGTTTTTCTTGTGACATTACCAATAAGTTTGATGTGTCACATGGCCCTCTTCCTATTGAAAAAACAAAAGTTGTATCCAAGATGGCCGACTTCTAAATGGCCACCATGGTCACCACCCATTTTGAGGAGTTTGCCCCCTCACATATACTAATGTGCCACAAACAGGACTTTAATATCACCAAACATTCTCATTTTATTACGGTGTATCCATATAAATGGCCCACCCTGTACATTCACACTATTAAATAAGATAACATGAAGTGATCTACAAGCACCCAGATTGTGTACTCAAAACGCTGACACTGTAGTACTGTACACGTTTTGCACTCCCAGTGGTTGCCATCTTAACTACATAGCAGAAAGACAGGGGAGACCAAGCAAATATGTTATCCTGGTGGAAGCAGCCATCAGAAGGTATGTATGTAGAAATGATTGTGTGGGAAAATCACAGCAGATCAGCAGTTTCTGAAATAGTCAAACCAGTCCATCTGGCTCCAACAACCATGCTATGTTCAAAGTAACTTAAATCGCCATTATTCCCCATTCTGATGCTTGCTTTGAACTTCAGCAGGTCGTCTTGACAATGTTGGATGAAACGCAACACTACCAAAAGCCATGTACTGTACAACATGAAAGCATACCAACGGAAGCATGCGAATTGAGACACATTATTTGTTTTGCTTCCTCTCTAATGTGGTCTCTATTTAAATCATATGTGAAGCCATATCAGTCTTCCTTATTTGTCTGTATGTGTAGTTTGTGACATACTGGCGGTTTTCTTGATAGGAGACACTGAAGCATTTGGCGCACCAACTTCACATTCTTTGATTTCTTTGCTTTCTTTCTTTTTTCTTTTTAAGTAATTCATCTTGAGTCGTTCACATTAACATCTGGTTAACATTTAGATACATTCTAACCAATTTAAACATAAAAAAATGTTTAATAGAGGAAAAATCTAAAACTTCTGTGAAGTCTGACTTTTTGAGTATGTTACTAACTACATTTACACAAACCGGGCAGAAGATTTCAAGTTGCAAACAAAAGTTTACTTTGTTAAAACGTCTGTGACAGATGCCCAGTTGCAGCTGATTATTGCTATTGCTTTCTACTGAACCTGAACAGTACTTGTTTCAGTGTAAACAGCTGCACATCATATTTTGTTGACCAGAGTCAGAAGATGTTTTCCTGCTGGGTTTTATTAATTTCCATGTGGTTCCTAAAGATGCACAGTGGGAAGAGATCCAACATCTGTCCTTCTGGGGGAGAGACATCATAAGTGTGATTAAATCTCTCTGAGGGACAAAAATGTAGCTTCAGAACTTCTGAAAAGGTGTCACAGGCTTGCATGGTGAGCTGTTTAACTCTAAAATATGTAAAGGTAAAATAGACAAAGCAGCAGCCCGTCTGTAAAAGGGTGGATTAGCTCATGTACTGTGAGCGCAAAGGCAAAAACCCTGCTCTCTGTCTCTTAATGCTTGTTCAGTTGATTTTTACATTTTACCAATTCTGCATCATAGTAAACAACAATTCATGTGCCCTGTGTTCCTTTTTTTTAGTTATTGCTTTTAATAGCTTTATTTAATTACACTTTTTTATTTGCATAGGCGAGAAAAAGCTGATATACATAAAGTGGATACAAGTGTGATACTAGGAAAACCTGAGATATTCACATATAAATATAACACAAATTACTGTACACATAATATATTTATAGGGAATGCTCTTTAGTTTTCAGATTTATAGAAAATGTGTTTCCCGAATAGACTACATTCACAGTAGACAGATTTTAAACTTGCTCAGTGTGCTTTGCTTCTGGCCAGGTGGTTAAAGAGTAATCCAGCCTTATGAGGAGAGCGTGAGCGAGAGTCGTATGCTGTCTGGACAGCATCCTTGGGACTGGCGGCTCTGCATGGCAGGTCCAGACAGACCTAGAGAGAGGATTTGGTCACGCAGGAGTGACAAACTGGAGCACACTGGGATCTGTGGTCCTCAGAGTGAAGTCTTGGGCTTTAGCATAAACCTGAGCTGACCCAGCAACGGTTGTTGCTACATCCCATTGGTCCAGCTGCAACTTGCGGTGAGCAGATATTGGGTATCAGCTGTTGTGTTGACAGCTGCTAGTCAGTCACCACCTGTCTTTCTGCTGGATTGGCTTCTAGAGTGGCTGTGTGGCAAGTTCTTGGACTGTGTGTGTTTGGAGGCAGGTTTCACAAGGAAGATTTTTTCTTTTCCTTTAGCTATTTTTCAACTCCACCGGATTATAAAAAACACTGGAGCAGCAGCACTTAGGGTTTCAACACATACCCGGTGAGTGGAATTCTTTTCATAGCAGTATGCATAGTGTGTTAAGTGCTGGTTTGACCAATGCAGACCTGAGCCACTGCATTGATTCTACAGAAAAAAATAAATTAAAAAAATTGAAACGAGCCATCAAATCATGTCATTATAGGAGATATAAGTTGGTTACTGTTGCTAGACTAAGTGCCTTTCTGGCCTCTTATGACTGGAATACACTGTTAATAATGCTAAGTTGTCTGAATGCATGCATCACCTCCTGGCTCTGTTTTCAACCAGTGGCACAGCAGGTGCTGTATAGACACCCCTTATTACCCAGCCTTAGTTGATTGCTTGTAATGCCTGAGTGCGTATGGCTGAAAGCATGCGCTGGTGTCAGTGGGAATGCCCTCTTAATGGGGCCAGCAATCAGGCAGCCGTCCCCACTGAGCCAAAGGAAAACACGCTGGAAACATGCGGCATGTCAGTGGCTCATTAAGGAATGGAGCAGCGTTTATAGCACCGCTGAGAGGAACAGTAAATCACTGTGCTCCCCTAGAGCGCTGAGTGGAGGGAGTCCTGCCCTCTTAAATGCACCAGTCACTGTGCTCCACACACTACTGGCCCTGTGTGTGTTTGTGCTCAGAAGCAATGGCCAGAGGGCCTATTTTTACTTTCATGTTGTACGAAACAACTGGTATTAAGAAGTATAAATAGTATCCCTGTATTGATGACAAAGTTTACATAGAGTGAACGCTGGCACCTGTGGGAATCTGAATTAAAATACATTTTTGTACTATATCAAACAATAATGACAAGGCAGTTTAATTTAATTTGCATTCACAGCTTATAAGAAAGTTGTGGTGTGTTGAGCACACAGCAAGGTTTCTGCACGCTGATGTATCGACCCATTTACGGTCTGACAGTCTCCTGTGATGGATCGCACTCTCATCTTTTTTTGATACCCCTAAAACTATTGATTGGTCATTTACAGCATCACCAGCTTTCTATCAGCACTATTCATGTGCATAGTATTTAAGCTCAGTTTTAAATAAATAAATTAATCTTCCACAGACCAAGGCTTCATTGTGAAAATTAAAATTAGCATCAGGATCTTGAGTCACACTCTGTGGCTGAAATTACTCACTATCAGATGTTTTCTTGGCTGAAGTTTGCTCAGTTCTTGAGAATCTTCTTTCTGTTACATGATGCCGTTTGTCTCTGTTCATCAGGGATCCTCAGCATTTAACCCTCATTCCCTTTATAACTGTGCTAATGTGTTTATATTAGAGTTACCATATTGATTTCCTTAAGCGTATGTTTGGTAGATGGTGCTCCATAGTGAAGTGGCAAGTGAAATGTTGGTGGTTTGCTCCAAACAGAAACATGGGGTCATGTTGGCAAGGCTAGCTGATGTAAAAGTCTTCCAGCATAAACATGCAGGGCTACCTGCTGTGGTGACCCCTAGTGTCAAGGGAGCAGCAGAAAGTAACCTTTATAGCAATATAGCACATCATTATACTGTAAACCAACCCAACTTCACAAAACAACTTTGCTATTTAGCTTTTGTGTCTTTGTTTAGACCTCAGTGATCATTTAATTGGAACAGAAATTATTTTAATGGGATGGCAGTGTAGTGGCTCAAACTCGTGACTCAAACACTTGTGTTATCTCCAGGTATGTTTACTTCCTTGCACAATATGAATCCATGCTTCTTAGGTTAACTGTTGATGTGAAATGTGCTGTAGGTGTGAATGGGGATTTGTCCTTGTGTATTGGGTCTGCGGTAGACTGGCAAACTGTTCAGGGTGCAGCTACCTATGTCAGCTGGGGTAGGTCCTTGCCCAAGCAGTTAAGAAAGTCAATAGATGGATGCATGGTACCTCAGTGTTTACCTTTGGGAACTGAAAGAGCGTTTGGAGCTGTAAATGGCTAATGATGTCAGACTTAACAGCCACACAAATTCCCAGTGATAATGACAAATGAAGGACAAGGTTATTGCTGTTTGCATGCAGCCGAAGTTGTATGATTCAAGTTCACCTTTATTTAGACACAGGAAGAGAGGTGAGAGCTGGGAGAGAAGGGAGAGAAATCTCAGTGCTTCTTGGTTACTTCCAAAAATATCATGCTTTTCTTGAATTCCAGCTATCAGTAGTGCCTTGGACAAACAGGTTCTCTTAGTAGCTTTTGGCAGTAAATATTTAAGGGCTACTAGATAGACTAAATGATTACAAAATAGCAAACACAAATGTTACATGTTTACTGATGTATTAAGATACATGAAGATTATTTCAGAAAATTGTCTAAAACACTCATATGGAAAGAAGTTGTCTTGACCTCAAAACCATGTTTAAAGTTAAACATTTAAAGCATTTAAAGCTGTTTCTAGCCTTAGCTTATCTGAACATAAAAATTTGAAACATTGTGCTTCACACTTTGCAGGTCAAGATCATTAAAATAACAAAAATAAAATAAATAAAAAACACATCATACATGCATTCTCTTAATTTTTCTGGAAACAATTTATCAGACTACTTCTGAGCTATGATGGGGAGGAAAAGCTAAAGCACAGAAATATTAGCTCAAAATGGAAAGAGTCATACCAAAGATTTAACCAAAAACCCCATCTTTTGTTTTTTCTGTTAGATCCAGTCTGAACATAACCTTTCTTCTGGCTCTGCTCCACTGGATTTGTAGAGGAATCAGTCTTTGAAAGAAAAGGCACAAACACTTCAATTCTTCTGACATTAGCTCTTGATTAACTCTTCCAATTAGATAGCCATCGGCAGGACTGGGGCCCTGATACGATCCAAATTGGATATTGGACACACAACCAGAGTGAATTGTGTCACTGTAAGGCTGATAATGACTGCTTTCTTCCATACATTAAATGCAAGTCAAGGGGGGGCCCTTGAGGCCCCTGGTGGCCTGTTTTTGCATTCTCTTTCAATGCTTCTCTTTCAATCGTGTACAGGCTGCACCATTAAACATTTACGGAGGCTGTTTAAACAGCCGTTAATTGCACATTAAGTGCGATCTATGCTCCCAGTCTTGATCACACACAGATCACTCTCTCTCTCTCTCTCTCTCTCTCTCTCTCTCTCTCTCTCTCTCTCTCTCAACACACTCACACACACACACACACACACGCACGCACGCACACACACACTCACACACACACGCGCACACACACACTCTCACACACACACACACACACACCTATCTATCTATCTATCTATCTATCTATCTATCTATCTATCTATCTATATGTAGGTATATATATATATATTTAAATATATGCCATGCACACTTGCAGCTGAAGAAAAGTCCGCATGCTTGGACATCCAGAATTACACATCCACACAGACACACACTGAAAAACAGGCTTCTCTGTGTGTGTGCATGGACCCACACGTAGATCATTCACATGATGCCATGCAATGCTGCATTCCTCCTGGGACTTATCAGGTGTTCATATGTAACTGAAGTTGTAGATTCCTGTGGGTTCCTGACAGATATGCATATAACATAGTGCTTACTTTGGCAGATATTGAAGGATTGTCACAAAGCAAAGTAAACAAAGTAAAACATCAGCTACACTTACTTTATTAAGTACAACTTGCTAGTACCAGGATGGAGTCGCTTTGGCTTTCAGACCTTAATTCTTTTAATGGCAAAAATTGCCACCAAAAGGTGCTGGAAAAATTCCTAAGAAACTTTCATCCATGTTGACATGATAGCATCAGAATTTTTTAGCTGCTTAGAGACCAGACAACATTTTTCCAATCTTCTGTTGTCCAGTTTTGGTGAGCTTGTGTCAACTGGAGCCTCATTCTTGTTCTTAGCTAAGATTTAGGGGTGTCACCAGGATTGGTCTTCTGCTGCTGCATCTGCTTCAAGGTTTGATGTGTTCTGCATTCAGAGGTGTTTTTCTGCATACATTCGTTGTGATGAGTAGTTACTGAAATTATCGTTGCCTTCCTATTAGCTTGAAGTAGTCTGGCCGCTCTTCTCTGACTTTTTTTCACGGCATTTCTCCGAGAAAACTGCTGCTCACTGGATATTTTCTGTCTTTCAGACCATTCAAAGCTTAGAGATGGTTGTTTGGGGAAAATCTGAGCATATCAGCATTTACTGAAATGCTCAGACCAGCCCATCCAGCACCAATAACCATGCCACATTATAATTATGTCTACATGCCCATCCCACTGACTTGCTGACATTTGATTGGCCGATTAAATATTTGCAGTTATGAGCAGTTGATAAGATATACCTATTATAGTAAGCATGAGTATATTTCTTCCTACTTAGAGAGAGAGAGAAGGAAAAAATGATTCTTGTTCTTCCTCCTTTGTTTAAATGCATGATTTCAGGTACACTGTAAAAAAAATTGTAATATAAAAGTATTTTACTGTGAATTTTACAGTTTTGTACTGTTCTTCTAGAATATCATTAAATTTACATCAATAGAATGTGATTTTAAATTTCAAATGTAAATTAATGTAAAATCACTGTAAATGTAATAAAACATAATTTCCTTGTTTTTTTAAATGTATTTGTCTGTACATATGCATATTTAGATTGTTAAAATACATTCACAAATGTATCAGAATTTCACAAATATTTGTCCGTTATTTGAAAGATTGAACTGTTAAATTCAAACGTAATGCTATGGAAAAATATATAACTTTTTTTTTTTACATCTAATAATAATAATAATTATTGTTATTTAGGGTGATCGTAGCTCAAGAGTTGGCAGTTCGCCTTGTAATCAGAAGGTTGCCGGTTTGAGCCCCGGCTCGGACACTCTCAGTCGTTGTGTCCTTGGGCAAGACACTTCACCTACCACCTACTGGTGATGGCCAGAGGGGAATTATGAAGTGGAATTGTAAAACGCTTTGAGGGTCTCGAAAAGCGCTATATGAATGCAATCCATTATCATTTAAACCAACTGTTAACTGTATATTTCTGTACATTTAAGTATTATTATTCATATTGCAGCATTCATTGACCTTGTTTATAGGTAATTTCAT